TAAATAACCGTCGACCAAAGAAAGTTGAGCACGCGAAACAAAACAAATATAAGGAAATCCATCACTGTCTTAATGACTTTTCCGTTCTATCGCACGAACAACAGATTCCCTTCCAAAATAGTAGTGGACGGGACCACTTTGTTGCCCTCCGTTAAATGCTAACCTCACAGACAAGTCCAACTTAACTGTGTGGAACTTTCACAGAGTAAGAATAATCCAAGAAAGTCATGAGTTAACACATCAGATTCATGGTCACATAAATTAGAGAAAAAAAACTTACACAAAATGAGCTGATTATAGACAGAAGAAAGCAGCCGACAAAACATTGTATCCGAGTCTCCCATGTCAGCGAGGAAGATGGTGCATTTGGTTCCTGAAACATTCGCATTTATATTCGAAACTTAGAAGGATTCGCTCAAGTGGTAGAAAGGCTCCTGTAAATGCTTCAGTAGGGATATGGTCATATAAAAGTTGACTATCATGTGCGGTGGCGCATTAAAAGAAACAGCGGTTAAACCGGGTTTGTAACAGGAAATAGTGCCCATGTATACGTAAAACTGCGCTGAATAAACTGTCAGGAAAAACTCTCGTTTCTTGTTTTATCTATAGTCAAGAAATTAAAACTGGAAAAAAGGGATGAGTCTAATGTGAACATGAGCACAATATGGAAAAGCCACAAAAAAAAGGTAAGCAGAAACACATGGTGAGGAAGGCCCGTGAGGACCAACAATCTTTGAAGAACTATGTGCAATGTCGAAGAGGGCACGACAGTCATTCACTTCTCATCGAGAACTTCTCGAAATTCTGTAAACTTCAATGAAAAATGTGCACAGCGAGGTGAAGATGAAGGGTGGCCCTTGAGCAAAGCAAGATAGATGAGAGCCCACGCTCGATCTTGACAGGAGCAATTAAATTGATCAATCACGAGCTTAACGAGTTCACCCTCACCTCTGAGCTTGAATGAATTAGTGGCAGGTAAATTGAGTACGTACCGTAATGTTCTGGGTGCTTCTGTAGTGTCCGTTGTCGAGATCTGCTGGCAAGCCGTCATTTGGAGTGTTCCGCATAGTTCCAAACATTTGCGAAACAATTCCTGAAATTATTCAGCAATAACATGCCTGGAGAGATTATGACTCAGCATTTGGCGATTTGAAGGGAGTCTCTCAGAAACCATCGCAAGTTGCAAAAAGAGGTTGCAATCATCAAGAAGCACCCCCGCCACTCAAAATTACCATTAATTCCGTATTCAGATACAATTCGAACGCATAATGCAAAAGTTTGATGAAGAAATTCTTCGTGATGACTCCTGACTAAGCGGGAAGACACTTCTTATGATAGGTGCTCGATCATGAAGTGCCTTCCAATCATTCAGGATGTCTATTTATGACAAAATTCGTTTTATAGTAATGATCTTACCGATTATGGCATCCATCATTCGTTAGCTAGCATTTCAACAACAAAAACTTATGTCATTCCAGTCACTGTTACTGGATGGTGAGTAATCAACCAGTTTTAAGTTCTCATCATATTTTCTAAATCCATATAACCTCGATAAAAGGGCAGCGAAAACAAACCCTGCAAATTTGGTGCGATGTGGAAGTACCGCTCCCGGACCACATACTTAGTAGAGCCAAGTATACCGCTCAACAATGAAAACCGATTTCCCAAGAAGGAAAAGTTTATCCTGCTAGGGATTGATTTTTAAGCACCAAGATTCCGCTCAGGAATATTAATAATTAAGACATTGATCCGCAAAATAGACTCCACAAGTATTATGTACATTAATGTTATAGCACTGTGAGCGAAAATATTCGTGAAAGGCTATTATTTCAGGTACATTTTTCAACACCAACTGTCCACTGGCGTTATCACCATACAAAACTAGTAAGCCAAGTAATTCAACTCAGGGCTTGCTCTACGAACTGATTCAATTAAGCTTTTCGATTACCATAGTACACGGTGGAAGTTTAAAGTGGTAGTTGGTCACGGCCTTCTCTATACTTTGCGCTGGCACACGATATTCCGCTGCTGCCTCAATTCGTTCGAGCTATTGAGTGCTTAACATGCCCAATCTGTTTGGCTCCTTTCCGGGTGTCAACTGATTTCATGTTTCACGGTAACTGCTTAGCAGCTTGTGTTAAGCCTCCCTGATCCCTTTTAGCTACCTCATTTACAGGCCAGGTGAATCAATCATGCCTAATGAGACTGCCAACATTTCGTGATTTGTAAGAACTTAAGCTCAAATTCAGTTCAAGCACAAGCGCTTTGAATCTTTTTCTTCAAAATTTGCAACAAAATGCTACCTTCAATCAAAACTTTTNTTTTCTTGCCACACTTTACCTAAGACCGAGACCGCATCAAATGACTATATGAAAATTGCTCTGCTAAGCTCTAAAAAGTTCGAAGTTCTTGGCGTTAATCAATCCCGTCTAAGGGATGCGCAGCGTCTGAGGGATATACCGTGACGATGTACAAGTTAGTGCTCTTATCCTCCAAGACGAGTCTGGTACCGATTAACCGACTCCAGAGGGATGAAGGCTTGGTTGGCCTAGGGGATATCGATCCGGCATTCAAACCCCTGACCGCGCTTGTGAGGTAGTGGACCCCTTGCCACTACACCACCTCCGCCCCTCTTCTGCTAAGTAATGACGCGAATACTATAAACTCTCGAAAGGTGGAGCTGGGTAAACTAGATTCTCAAATAACTGAATGAGAATTAATTTATAATTTAGGAGAAGGAGTACATCTGCGCTACCACAGTAACGTTGAATGTTATTCCATTTCAAGTCTCACACATCTCTCGCTAATCTGACCGCACCGACGTTCTCGCGCAGGGGAAGGAGCAGGACAGCTTCACGTATTTATCAGTTAAATTTCATTTGGGCTTTAGTAAAGCCAAACATATCAAATTGACTTTTTGATAATATATGATGTCATAGAGACTGTATAAACTTCTAGAACAACTTAATGCCACCGTTACTATTCTACTTCGATATCACACCGCCTATTCTTCTAGAAACAACAGAGACCATCGAACCAGAAGTGAAATAAAGTTTTTTTTTCCTCACAAAAAGCTTACACAAATGCAGTAATCACGAAGAACAATAAATCTTGAATAACTCACCCGCTCGTTGACGTCGCAAACGAAAAAGCTCGATCGAAGTACTTGAACACAAATGCGAACACCGGCAGCGCGTCAGCCTCCAATTGTTGGCACGAATTCGGTGATGGATCCAATTTTGATGGGAGATTTCTCGGTTGGTTTAGATATACTGGTATCCTTTTTTGAATGTAGTCCATAGCTTTAAAGTGATGTCGGCGCTCATTTAACTGATTTGTTCATAAGTTGTATGGTTGCACTTTGAACAGACTTCAATTATATTGATTAAACCCGGGGATCGATTTGAAAGTTTCATTGATTACTGTCAGAACTAGGCAAAGTTTTCTCCAGTAGTTTCACTAGACTTGAGTGTCGTCATTTTTGCTCCCATTGTAGTGTGGGGCGTAAGGAAGACCCTTTACCAATCATATTGTGTTCCAAAAGTGTTCAGCTGTTGGTAGAGTTGACATAGCATCATAAAGTACGAAAATAGTAGGCTCACCTTTCCTCCAAGAGTAGTCCTGCCAGAGCTGTTGTTAGCTCATTCTCCATCGGCGCTAAATGACCCGCTCTGTTCACCTGATGATGTTGATGATCAGAATTTGCAGAGATCAAATATCCGGGCGAATTTACTCACTATCGCATAGATTTAGTATCCATCCCCATTTCTAGCTATGGGTTCTTGATTATTTGGATTTAGTGGGCAAAAATGATTGGTAGTACTTTCGCTTCGTTGCCTTTTTTTCATGATGTGCCGAACTGTTTGTCTTTATTATTGTGGAGTTCAAAACATCCTCAGCATCATTTTCAATCTAGTTTGCAATTTTTTATTTCAGATTTTATCGAACTCACAAGGGTCCCAGAAACAATGCCGCCGAAACAGCAACCAAGTAAAAAGGCAGAACAAAAGAAGAAAGAGAAAATCATCGAGGATAAGACGTTTGGTATGAAAAACAAGAAAGGGGCTCAAAACCAGAAATATGTTCAACAAATACAAAATCAAGTAAGTGAACCGTTCAAATAACTTCACTGGACTACATAATTTTCACCTTCTTCAAGATACGAAACAATAACGCTCGATTGGATCAAATAAAAGCTGCCGAGGCGAAGAAGAAGAAGGAGCTAGACGATTTACGTGATGTTACCAAACTTATAAAGCCGGTGGAGCAGAAAGTACAGAGAGGTTCGATCTGTCTGCCACATTTTACTTTTTGTTTCGCTGAGTGTGATAAGTGAAGAACTCGAAAAACAAGGGAGATATTTCAAATCCAAGTAGTCGGTACAAATCGTCACTAGAGTGGGGATGAAGGCTGTTTTTTGACATTTTTGCAGCCATTCGATATACGGCATGAATGTAATCGTTACTAACCACTCGATTACTTTCAAGTAACGATGAAGTTAGAATAGCTCTTCGGATGTTCGAGATTTCTACAAAAACCTTGTTTTCCTTCAGATGTCGATCCAAAATCAGTGGTGTGTGCGTTCTTCAAGCAAGGAATGTGCCACAAAGGAGCTAAGTGCAAATTTAGTCATGATCTAGCTGTTGAGCAAAAGACCCAGAAAAAGAACCTCTACGTCGATAGCCGAGATTTGAAGAAAGAAGATGGTGAGATCTCTCCAGTCTTCAGTAAAAATGCTTTGAACTTGCTGAGGATAATCCTATTTTAATTCTAGATAACATGGAAAACTGGGATGAATCCAAACTCAATGAGGTTGTCAACAACAAGCATGGTGAAGCGAATAAGAAATTGAACCAGACCACAATTGTCAGTTGATTTTTTATAACTTCCTGTAGACTGATTTTTTTTTCGCCATAGGTATGTGGTGTTTTTAAGACCTCAAGGTTGCGCCCTGAACAAATTTTACTTTTGAATATTTCGTCTTTCAGGTTTGTAAATACTTCCTCCAAGCTGTTGAGGAAAGCAAGTACGGTTGGTTTTGGGAGTGCCCAAATGGTGGGGAGAAGTGCCAATACAGGCATTGCTTACCAGAAGGGTATGTTCATGCTGTGTTGTCGCTGACTAGTCTGTCCTTCTTTATTGATTGCTTTTCATACTAATCTCTTTCCACTCTAAAAAGTCGTTCATCGTTGATCAGTATTCGAAGAACGATAGTTACAGATATGTGTTGAAGAAGGATAGAAAGAAGATGGAGGAACAAGATAAGGAAAATCAAATTAGCCTCGAAGAGCTCATCGAGAAGGAGGTGAGACCTCAACCCGATTAATTAATTCCCGTGATTTAATTTGTTTCTTTTGTGTAGATTCATGCCTTTTCCTCAGATTGATTAAGAAAGAGTTCATAAGTAGGCAATCGCTTCGGTAGCGAAGTTTTGTCGAATTCCACGTCCTCGAGACAACTTATTTCTGAGTGGTCCTGAAAAGAGTTCCGTAACTGACAAATGCTTTGTGCTTTCATTGCGCATTCTTTCATCCCATTTAAGCTTGTCTGATTTAATTTCGTCTCGAAGTGGTCATTTAGTTTTTCGTAAGAATGCAGCCATTTCCTATTTCATTTCAAAGCGACTGAGCCTTTCTAGAGAAGATTTCTCTGTTCAGAGAGCTGCCTTGTCTTCGAAGAATCTCACGAAAATTACACTCCAGTCGTTTGTAGCATGGAAGAAAAGGAAGTTGAGAGAGAAAAAACAGAAGGAAGCTGATGAAGAAAAAGCGAAGAAGGACAAGATCAAAGCTGGAAAAGCTGTAGGTTTCAAGCTATTCACTTTACTTTTAACAGTTTAAAACGGTTTTCTTTGCTTGTAGCTGGGTATGAGCGGTCGTGATTTATTCACATTCAATGCCGATGCTTGTGTTGATGACGAGGACGCTGAAGACGTCGAGTTCGAGAAAGAGGAGGCTGACGTGAGTTTTTGTTATTTTACCAGTTGAGATATCCTTTAGTTAAATTAGCCGGTCCATTATTCATACCTATTCAGCCCGATGAGAAGGTGTTCGAGATCGATAACAACTTCTTCAAATTCGAAGGTATGGATGACGATTTGGATAACGATGGATCAGCACCTGCTGAAGGAACTAATGCCGACGGTTTGGCTGCAGGTGGTTTTCAAGTGTTTTCTGCTTTAGAAGTGGTACATTTGGATTTTTTAAATATGACTGCTAATAGCTGGTTCCTGTAACTATTAGTTGCATTTTAATTTCAGGTATGGGTTCTATAGCAATTAATGAGGAGTTATTCGACGTTGACGAAGGACTAGAAGGGCTATCTTCGGACGAGGACGAACCGACCGCCTCTCAAGTCGTGAGCTGATAACATCGTTATTTACTGACAAATGAGTGTCATCGAATTCTTCGTGTCTTTTCTTATCGGGCGAACTCCTTAGTTTTATAAACTCACGATTAGTTCTAATATCGAATCCTCCCATGGCTATCAAATTACTCTAAAAGTCTTTTTGAATGTGATCACTTGTTTTGGCCTGGATACATGAGGTCATTGCTATTGTTTGTTAGTAGTTATTTATGGAAATTGCTGTTGAGATTTGGTTTGGTGGCTTGTTGCTTGAATTAACACTAGTTAGTTCAATATTTTCTGATCATTTTATGAGAATTCTATTGCCGCCGGTGATATTGTGACCGTGTGGGTAAAGTTACGTCAACTCCCCTGTGTTTGGGTGAATCGCTGGTATTCAGTGCTTTGATCAATAAATTCGTTTTTTATGCTCTATCAGACTTTTAATCAAATTGTTCGTAACTAGCGATTATTTGGCAGTATTGGTTATTTCTTATGCTTTCACTCTGTTTTACCAGATGTAGTTTGTGTATACTCCCTATACTATATACTACATCTCTTACTCCCAACTCTTTATTTTCTTCTCGCTTACCCTTTTTCGTCTTTCTTTCTGAAATAGTTCCTTTTTTTTTTTAGCGGACAAGAAACTAATGGTCATTTTCAGGCATGGCATCACGCAGTATTAGTGTAGGCTTACGGAATATTCCCCGTCTAATTCAACAGTCACAACGTAATGGTGCACATTTCTCGTACTTCCCATCTGGGGTGAAGCCAGAAATAGCTAGCGGTAAGTTCATTTATGTTTGTCTTTTATTTTAGGGTTAACGTTACCACTCCCGTCCACAGTCATGAGAAATAGTATTCTAAGAATAGAAAGAATCTATAATACATTTTTTACCTCTGGTTATATTTTGTTTTTTTTTCAGTTGGAGGACCCACTGAAAAAATGAATGTTTGCCAAGCTGTAAATAGTGCACTCCATATTGCTATGGAAACAGACAAAACAGCTGTGGTTTTCGGTGAAGACGTTGCATTCGGAGGAGTATTTAGGTGTTCTGTTGGTTTGAAAGACAAGTATGGTGAGTCTGGAAGTGCATTATTCCTTAAGAAACACCTTTAATCTTGAATTTAAGGCGAAGATCGAGTATTTAATACTCCATTGTGTGAACAAGGTATAGTCGGTTTTGGCATAGGTGTAGCTGTAGGTGGAAGTACAGCAATAGCTGAAGTCCAGTTCAGCGATTACATTTTCCCGGCATATGACCAGGTAAAAATGTTTCTCTTGAGATTTATAGCGGAAAGCGTGGTAAAATAGAGTAGTGATACGGTTCCAGTTGGTGAACGAAGCAGCAAAATACCGCTATCGTAGTGGAGGAATGTTCAACTGTGGCGCCTTGACGGTGAGGTCCACCTATGGAGCCGTTGGACATGGTGGCTTGTACCATTCACAAAGCCCAGAAGCCCACTTCACGCACACGCCTGGACTGAAGGTGAAAGACTCCCTACGCTGATCTCAATACCTTAACTCGAAATTCCTACATGATTAGGAGTTCCGTTGTCTGACGACTCTAATTCAGGTTGTAGTACCTCGAGGCCCTGTACAGGCGAAGGGGCTCCTGTTGTCCTGTATTCGTGATCCTAATCCATGTATTTTCTTTGAGCCTAAGGTGCGTGAATAACTGATCGTGACTTGCAGTGGGGTGTTATCTATTTGATTAATTCTCCAGGTTCTTTATCGATTAGCAGCGGAAGACACACCAACTGGTGACTACACTATTCCACTGAGTCAGGCTGAGATTGTGTTGGAAGGTAGGTGTTTATCTGGTTCAATACGTAGGATCTCCCTTCATCGAATGGAGGACAACTAACAAACCCTTCAGGTTCTGATATGACAGTTGTCGCATGGGGAACTCAAGTTCATGTTGCACTCGAAGCAGCTCAGTTGGCTAAAGATCAGTTGGGATTATCTGTTGAAGTTATCGATCTTGCTACAATCCTTCCCTGGGATGAGGATACTGTAGTAAAGGTGTGTTCGAATTCGACGACAACCTAAGTTAGGGCTCTCAGCTTGGAGCAGCTGGTTAAAGTAGCATATATAGCAGCAATCTTGTGGTTTTTGTAATTCACTAGCCTTACCGTTCCGAAGAGGTACTAAGGCTGCTCGCGACATGCCCCAGGTAAGTTTTACGTCAGTAATGACCTGAAATGTAACAGAAAGAAGTTTCTAGGTTTGAATTCGAGCGGAACAAACTAAGAACAATGACTAAGTTATTGAAGCATCGAAATTCAGAGCGTAGAGAAGACAGGACGACTAATTGTAACTCATGAAGCACCAGTAACGAGCGGATTTGGAGCTGAAATCGTTGCCACTATCCAGGTAACGACACTCTTCTTAGGGGCCTGTTTTTTAGAAAACTTCAATGAACATTTCTACTTTCGTAATTCTTTACAGTAAGCATCCAATTTCGTGAATTAGTTATATCATCTATCACTTTAGCGTCGCTGTTTCTTACATCTGGAATCACCTATCGAACGAGTCTGTGGTTTTGACACACCCTTCCCACACGTTTACGAGCCATTCTACTTGCCAACGAAGTGGAGAATTTTCGATGCTATAAAAAAGAGCATTAAGTACTAAGAATACTTAGAATTAGGTTGAGCGGCTTATTGGGTACTTGTTGTGTGCTACCTCAGAGAACTAGAGAGAACTTATAGAAGTTTTTAGAAGCTAGTAGGCTTTGCTTTGGTGCCATGTCATTGAAAATTCGTTCATTAATACTGTGTCCCGGTTTCTGAAACTATGAAATGACATATCGAAAATTCACGTTATTGCTTATGTGGGTTATGGTTTCTGTAATAGTCAACGATAGCTTCATGTGCCTAAATTTGAGCAAATCTTCTATTGAAATGTGTTCTTGTGGAAGAAATGAAGTGGTTGTTGCTTTAATCATTATTATTACTGCCAGAAACCCTGATTATTTCGACTTTTTGGGCGCTAGTACAAGTATTTAGCGGTGAAGATTAGGAAACCTTTATTGATCGATAACCACCCCAGTCAGCTGAACCTTCATTTTCCTCTAGTTCAAGTTGCTCGTTTTCGCACCTGAGCTGGCTGCCTGAAGTTATCACCGTTTTGATGTGTTTACAATACTAAAAAAAAAACTTGAGTGCATGGGGTCTTCAACGCCCTCCGACTTAAACTTCAGTGAAGAAGTTCGAGTTTCTGGCAATATTCAAATGTAGCTACTCATAACAACACTTCTCAATATGCTATAGAAGAAGTGAAAGGGATGGTAAATAGTAGAGGGTGCGGTGTCGGTAAGCCCTTTCTGGGACACGCCACGCATATGGCGTCTAGTCGGTACTGGCAGGCATTTTTGACGGGATACATGTAGCATACGTGCGGGAGCCATTCCCAAACTAACTACTTGTTTTGCCCTTCGATGCATTCACGTAGTAATGATTCGATCAACATGTCATCATTTTATCAACAGAAGAAAATCAAGATCATTTCAAGTGACGTCACTGGATAAAGCTCATGAAGACCGGGTATAAATGCCCTATTATGATGGTGACACACGCGCTATGTAATACAACATGACACGACCTGAACAATGAGGTGCATATAGATAGTTAAAAGAGTAATATCAGCATAAAATATCATATCCTAATTACTAAACACTGTACATGTGCACATATTCTAAGACTAGAAAATAACGCACCGTTCATGTTTGATAGGTAACGTGAAATGCAAAAGCAAACCTGAGACGCGAGCGGTCGCGCAGCTGACCGATTGGTCATGCGGCATAGGCCGTCTGTGTGTGAGGGTAACAATCGCAGATCCTCCAACATGATCTGAGATTGCTGCCCTTAATATATGGATCGTTTTCAAGAAAGTCATCGAAAAAGTTTATAGAACGCTTAAAATTGAATCTTGTAACCGTCTGAGTCACCCTGAACTTACTTTGTATTACAGATTAGATTCGATTTCGCAAGCTTTGTGAGAAAGGGAAGAAAAATGTTCGAAGGCACTGTTCTTGATAGATGTTTCGCTTGAGATCTGCCAACCTGGTGGCATTGCCATTCGTAAGCGTTACTTCCCAGATGGGTGTGAAAGCAGTGCCTTCAGGGTATACCTGATGGATGGGAATTACTTGCACAAGCACATCCACTTTCATTCTGTGAGAGTCCTCCTAATTTCGAATCGCTTCCGTTGTTGTTCACGCACTGACTGACGGAGTGCCGGTTTGTTCAGTTTGTGGTGAATTACTCGAAGAGCTTGCAATGCCTGAGACATGGCGACTACTTGGTTAGGGCATAGTGGAAATTGTTGTGCAAATAAACTCACATTTTCCGTGTCACGGACTGTCATTTTTTGCATACTCGAATTGGATGAAATTCGATAAAGTGGAGTTATGGTCGCGTACACGTCTATCGCGTGCTGTCTCAGTAGTACTGCTCGTGGATCGTCTTTTTGCAAGGTGATAAGAGGAGACTGAAACACCCAAGCATGATCATAAAACAGGAAACACCATAGTGGTCACTGCGCCTCAAAAAGTCATCGCGTGTCACCTCGAAGGAGGGCGAAAATGATTGCCTATATTGAGTTACAAGTTCTTCAGTTGTCGATGGGAAGTAAACTTATATTGTTCTTCTGTAGGGGTAGAGAGGCAAGTATGAGAACAAACAGAGCACGAAAAGAAGAAGATAGACTCTCACTCATTAAGGTCATATCGCTTCACCCGGGTGGCGGTACTTCTCCCCAATTTCCCACGGCTAGCGGCATTGGTTCCGCGTTTACCGTATCCTTTCACTGAGAACTCGAACCTATCTCTTCAGAGCGCGCGACTGCGCGCGATCGTGTTCGGCGAGCGCTGCGTGACTTTCGGGTAAAAGATACCACCCCCCCCCCCCCCCGTTTCACCATGTCTAGAAAAACGCCAGAGTTGAAAACATGCAGCCATGCCAGGACCTATTACAATCGCCGTGCGGTGACCAAGCTAAAGTTACAGGTGGGCGTGAAGTAGATCATCTTTAAAAACCGAAGGATATGAGGCATTGAGTATAGCTAAGGTTCCACAGCCTACTTCCAGATGACGACAAAAAGAAAATTACTGAAAAATTCATTGCGTCAAAGACTACCTCATTTGGGAGCAATTCATCAATCTTGCACATCGTCGACAGCTCTGAGAGATTCTTGCCCTGTAAAAAACTGTTCTTGCATCTAATAACTCTACCACTTTGTCACTTACTGTAAGCGTTTCGTCGCAGGCCGTTGCAGCTTCTAATATGCTGTCCAAATTTCGTAGAACTGCTCTCAAGCGTCGAGGACATACCTAGAAGAGACTCATCATTCCTACTTTTTGTTTTGAATGGTTAAGTGGCTTTTATCGACAAAAACTCACTCCAAACTGTTCAGCTACCAGGGTAATTAGTTCTTGAACCGTCAAGACACTACCGCCGAACCAAATCTCAACGTCTTTCCTTCCACGAAACTGCCTGAAAAGCAGAGAAATCTATGGAGATAAGCAGGCGTTGCACACTAATAGTCGTTCGAAACGGATGCATGAGGAACATGCTTTATTGTAGAGATCATAAAAACTGAGTTCATTCTTTGAAACACGGAGTCGTGAGCGTAGGAGAGGGATTTCTTCATGAAAAGTCTTTTGAGGGGGGACAGAACCCAGGTTTCTCAGTCATTTCAGAATTCCGTCTGCACCGAGGCATCTAGTCGATGTTGATCGGTACGACTTACTGTATCTGAGTTTTCCAAATTAATTGATGTTCATGATCAATGCTATGCTCTACTGAGTGGTCGCTTAACCTAGGGTTTTATGAAAACTTTGAAGTTCACTTTGACAGAGAAGCATAAAAGTATAAGTATCACCGAATATCAAAGGTAAAGTTTACTGTACAATTCTGGAAACAATCTCAAGAGCAGGCAGTCGAGCAGAATATGAATTGACTAACCGTCCGATATAGTGCACATATTGTAGATAGCATCCAAATCTATCGAATAAAGTAGATAAAATAACCACTCCTACAAATCGATTACAGTAATCAATTACTGGAATTTCTTAGAAATCATATACGCTCTACTAGAGAGAATGTTACCTGCTGAGAAAAATGCGATAATCGCCACCGTATGTCCCCATGTGTCTGCAGCGGGAACCAAATCACCGTATCCAATCGTCGACACCGAGATAAAGCTAGAAAGTTAACGCTAACTTCGCACGACTAAAAGGTGACCACTATGATCAACACTACCACAACACAGTCCTTCCCAGCAATGATACGTGGAAGTGTAAAAAAGTAGCAAAACGACCCAGCAAAAATTCTTGGTTGTAAGACGCAAATTCC